CCCGGTTTCTAGCGTTTTTAAGTCCGCAGACATACCGCTGTGCCACTGGGGGGGCATTTTTTTTTTAGTGATTCTTACTTTTATAAATATGACATTTATATAACATTATTCATGTTTTTCATTTTAATTTTGAAGGTACTGTATCTCATGATTTATAAACTAATTTTATTTCCCATGAATAATCTTTGCATGTACTTTTTATTATAATAAATACTTCCGAGACTTAAACTTAATCCAAGGAATGAAATTCTGTTCTATTGTGAATTAACAGCAACTATTTCAGATTAGGTAATTCAGTGAAAAAACACAACTGGTTTAGAAATTTCAACTTCTTAAGTAAATGAAAAACTTTAGTTAATAGTTAATCTTCCCTTCCTGAATGAAAAAGTTCTTTAGTATTTCAAAGTTGAATGTTCTACATAAAATACAATTCAAATAACTGCATCATCAAAATTACCCCCAAATCATGTTTCCAAAGTTTTATTAAATTACCAAGGCTTTCTTTTGTTATTACCAAAAAAGATAAACCTACAAATATAACTACTAATTAAATATTCACTGAATTATCATGTTATGTTCCACTGAAATAGATACATTATAATAATTATTTAAACATAATAAGACCACAGAAACCTAATTAAAGCTTGATTATGTTAAACATTTATAATTATTTGTAACAACAAACAACACTAGAAAAAACTATTTAAAAAACAATTCTATTTTGATCTCAACACACAATGTTACTTGTTATAAGATTTGTCTTGTCTACAGAACATCAGGTTTTGAAATTTCATGAAATAAATGGCAAATCTAAAACTAAAAACTAAAATTGCATATAATCTCTTAATTATCTGTTTGCTGGTTGACTACGGAAAAACCACCTTCCCCCCTTTCTCAACCCAGTCAAGGAAGCTTCCACAGTAACACTTGACTCTAAAACAGAAAATACCAATATGTTTGAAAACAAGCATTTTTTGTGGAAATTTAAATTTTCTTAAAAATTTGTTTTTCAAATGTGGGACACATAAATTATTTGATGAAATAGCATAGAAAAGTTTGTTTAGAAAGACAATTGAATACGAACCCCATCAGTAATAATTGGAATTAACAAAAGACAATGACTGCATATGACTGTATGAATATGGTGTAACTAATAGAAATGAGCCTTGCATGAAACAAAACATGTGTCTCTATTTTTAACATGAAAATTTTATCTTTTTAACTAAAACTAGATACATTCCTTTAAAACCAAAATTTCAGTTCTTGCAAGAGAAACACAACACAGTATAGAGATGGTAAACACAAATATTGTTTAACAACCATATCCTATGGAAATTCACTGAACCATTACACAGATATGTTTTTACAGTTGCATTTACTTAGTGTGCTATAACATGACTAAGAAGTGCCTAGGAATAAAAACATCAATCAAAATCAAAACAACAGACATTAACTTAAGACCTAATTCATAGATTCAGTGAAGTGGCCATTATAAGGTGTATTCTTAAAATTTACTTGTTAATAACTATATATTTTGTTGCTCAGACAAAGCCACTACTAGAGAGACAAGCTGCAGAACCTTTTGCAAGTAAATATGAGTGACGTGTTAGGTTATGTCTATCTTGTTACAATAAAATATCACATGACTGCCCATAATAAATATTTACAAATTGATGTACTGTTTTCACTACTTACACACTAAAAGTTTCATAAAAATATTTTACAAGTTACAAGAAGAATCGAATCCATATAGTGTTAAAAAAAGAAACAACTAAAAAGCTAAAATTGAACACTAAAAAGGTTAAATTTGTTGAGCTAAACTATATTGAGAATTAATGCCAAATGATAGTGGAATTTAATAAAAGGCTTTACAAAATATATGAACAAAACATATAATAACTATATAAATTAAAACATGAAACAATTATTCTCAGAATCAAACTGACACATGCAAGGTTACTCACTTGTCATAACCAAATTTTCGCACAATTATAATAGCATCAGTAGCACGACGACCTGAGCGACAAGTCATCACTACATTCCCATCATCTTTAGAAGGTAAAGGAAAACCATACTTTTCCTTAAACTCATTAGATGGAAGCTGAAAAGCCTGCTCCACTTCAGCTACTAAACAACAGAAAGTAAAAGCAATTTAAAATTTGTTGTTTACAATAAATAAAACAGAGTTATTAAATATTCCACATAGAACATTTCACACATTACCAACACACAAGCAATTTTTTTTAGGATTTATAAAATCCAAGTAAAAATACCACATGATTGTTAATTAATTGAAAATAAAATTTAAGATCCATCATACTTTTATAAAGATTCTCTGTTATTTTTAAAACTCTCAAAAGCAAAGATTAAAATAGAACACAGCAACGGATTAAATATATATATATGTATTTATACCACAACAACTTTCTGGGAAAATGTTTAAATTTAATCATGTTTTCTTTTTACTAAAATTTAATTTTTTTCCCCCTTCATTTTAGAGGTTATTCTATAGAAAATCTGTATTATAAAAGTGGCTTGTGTCAGTGTTTGCTTCCATAACAAATGTTTTCCAAATTCCTGACCTCTAATTATAGTGAAACTTCTAGGGGTTCTTGGGTACTTTACAGAATTCTAACATCCCATCATGCATCCCACTTTCCCCATGAACCAATGAAATAAATGCCGTGCCTGACACAGGTTGCTATGTCAGTATATTTAAAAACTGAAATCTATCTACTACCTTTCTTTTGATATCATTGATTCGAACTTCACTTTGCTTTGAGGTAAAAAGAAAACAAAACTTTATATGTCACCTTTGTGAATTCTATATCACTAATCACAGAACTAAAACAGAATTTATTCATAATGAAGTACAAAACCTATCCTTAATACTGTCTCTTTGTAGTCCATGAATAGTGATGTTACTATACAGGATACCTCAATTTAGGTTGTGTGTTGTTTCTTAATTGCAACCTGCAAAATGATTTCATGCATGTGATATCCAATGTTTGTTTTACAAATTGCAAAGATTTTGAAACACATCATCACACCAAGAGCCTGAAAAAAATTTCAAAAAATCGCCACAACTTACGAGGAACATTGACAGAGGTAGGAATCATTCCAACTTCTTTTAACTCTTCAGGAGTACGTACATCAATTAATGTAACATCACTGGCATTGATGAGAGCACTTAGTTCTTCAAATGAGACTTCTGTGACTAAGAAAAAGTAATATAATTGTAAAACATTACATTAAAAGGCAAAATTAGTAAAAATTGGCATAAAATAATTAGTAAATAAATTTTTTTGTACATATCAACCAGATGAATGAAAAAATATTTACAACAAAAACAAAAGTAGCAGTCAAGATATTTTACAATCTTATCACATAACAGATTATACAACCTTTACCAATACATAAATATATAATATAAAAATATGTTGAGCTCCAATAGGTCAATATGCACAAACTTATTTGATACATGCTACAATAAAAATTCCATTAATATAATTACACTATGAACTGATTTGGTTTAACAATTTGTGCAAAGATACACATAGGCATATTGCACTAGTCATCCCTAATTTTGAACTTATAGACCAGAGGGAAAGCAGCCAGTCAACCCCACCCACAGCAAACTCTTAGGCTAATCAAATTGTGGGATTTGACTGTCACCTTTATAATGCTCTCATAGCCCCAAAGCACAGAGAGGGTTTTTTTTGTGGCAACAAGGCATTAAACATAGACCCTTGGACCCACAGTCTGACATGCTACCCACCAGACCACACCCAGCCTCATTATGATTAAGCAAGGATGCTGTCACAGCTACTTTGTACAAGAGCTATAGCTGGAGAAGTATCCTTCATTAATTTTTGGTTCTTAAAATAAATTTTGAAAAATGTATTACTACTACAACTCTACAATTACAGTACATAATAAATATATGACTTTTAAATCTAACTGTGACAGTTTATTTGCTTAAAAGACATACATATATATATATAAAACTTTACAGTCAAAAATTACTTTTAATACAGTGGGTATACTATACCTATAATATTTTATGTATTATTCTCTCTACTTACACAAACATTTTATAAATTTGACAATTTTAACAAAATTATCATAACCAAGATTTATTTTTTCTAATTTCAAATATCATTTACTAAATTTTAAAGAGAGCCAATTTCAATCAAATTTGCTGTTTAGCTGCCCAACACACACACACCTCATATTTAATATTTTTCTTTTTTTTTGTAACACACTTACTACATGTTTTTTTTTTATAAACTCTATTGTGTCTAGAATGTACTCAAACATTAATTGAGGTGGTGCATAGAATGAAGTTTTATGTCTTCCGAATATTCACAATATCAGATGTTTATGAGTCATTACCCTTACTTTTAATAGGTGGATCAGACTTATCTTCTGAAGTTGTAGCATAACGTTTAACTGAAACAAAAAACAACAACATCATCTTAAAAAAATATAAAAGGCCAATTTAACAGAATGAACTTGATATTTTCTGTACACAGACCACATGACCTAAAATGATAAAGCTATACACAATAGAACCTAGGATTTAAATCCTACAATACTATCAAAGCAATGCATACTAATGTAAAAAAATAACACACTATTACAGGAAAACTCGTACACATTTTCTATACTATTAAATAATACATTTAGGAAAACAAAATGGCTATTTAATTAAATTGCTTTTTTTCTGTCATTACATCTTGTAACTAAATGTAAGCAGACATTTATTTTCTACAGGAATAAAGTTGATATATACCTTCATAAACTATTTGATAACACACATTATTACAATCCTTTATCCAAGTTGCATTAATAATAATTATTTTGCTAAGGGAAAAATTTGAAATGGTTTTTCATTGCACTGTGTTTTGGTGCAATCTGTTAGCTAATTATTCATGTTTCTGTACAAATTATAGTAATCCATTAGTAAAAATTCACTTATTCTAAAACTGATTAGATACTATTTTTATTTTTCGTGAAGGCCGGTACTACTGTGTGGGGTATTGTTCAAAATGTCTAATGTATTTGAGAAGCTTCAATGTTAATGATGGTATACACCTTAATTATTGGCTTTCATATATGATAATAAAGCAAGTTTTGGTGCTTTTTTTTTCCTATCATCACTTTTGTTTACAATACTGAAAACATCACCTTTAATTCTTTAAAGATTCCTGTAATTCATTATCTTACAAAATGGTGAAAGCATATTGTTCTATCTTAAGTCTAAGATGTGTTACAACACAAAATAATCTCTAAGTATTGATATTAAGCATACTGTAACCTCTTAAATCTAAGATGTGTTACAACATAAAATAATCTGTGAGTATTGATATTATCATAAAACAGTTAACTTTATGCCTAACATTCATAGCTGAAAACCAAGATTCTCATTTTTCTTGAGGAATTAGAAAAATAATTAGCTTTTAAAGTAAAATGTGTTTCAGAAGCTTAAAATTCCCAGCAATTGAACAAAAATTTATATTTTTTTCACCAAACAAGATGAAATTTGTTTTTTGGATTGAGCAATGATCTCGATAAATGCCTCTATTTTAGGTGTAAAATAAGTTTAGTATTATTTCATAAGATAAAACTGGTCTCCTAAATAAACATGTAGTCAATACACCAAAATGATATGCACAATATATTTCCCTCTCAAAAGTTAGTTATGATTAATTATTATTTTCTCAGCCGAAACAACTCAAAATGTGGTTACTAAATCTTTTATCCCTTATTATTGCACTTAAAATGCTATATTCAGTGCAGATGTATGGTTTAATAATTACCATATCCTAAGCAATGAGTGTAAAAATAACAATCTGCAGGAAAAGATAAACTAGAACTGTTACCTGGATTTTCAAACATATGACAAAACTTCTTTGTTTTTTGTTGTTGTTGGTTTTTTTTGCATCATCTTACCTAATCTTGATTCAGATGATCCAGAAATATTGTGGTTTAAATTAAAGTGATCTCTCCTACAGTTTGTCTGATGTACTGTTCTAAAATCTGCTGTCTCCACACCAAGATTTTTTAGATGTCTATAGAGTCTGACCTTAAACAAAAGTGGTATCCTGACAGTTCTAGCCAATAAAGAAGTCATTTCTAAACCCAAAAATAAAAATATAAACAATTTAATCACAACATAACTTTTCAATGAATTCTAGAACTTGATTTATAGCCTATAAGAAAAATATAAATAAAAATGATCTCAAACTTAACTAATGTTTATGAAGATATAAAATGAAAAATAACAAATTAGGTTAATATCTACACTGTACAATAAACATTCAGAATATTGGTACTGTAATTAAGAATATCAAAGTAATGCTTGTGAGGAAGTAAGTTAGTATCATCATTTTTTCTCCAGATGCAATCATCTGTTGGCAAAATTATATTACAGTGCCTTACAAAAGTATTCACCCTTGCAAAGTTTCTACATTTTGTTGCCATCCAAGCTTGCAATCATGAAACTTTCAAATGGGACTTTATATTTAGAATCTACACGATCAACTCCAAATTTAGAAAGCTAACAAATGCTAATACTGTGTAAGAAAATACAAAGAAAATTAGAATATTCTCAATTGCATAAGTATTCAACCCCTTTGCCACAGTAACCCTAAATCAGTTCAGGTGCAAAAGATTAGTTTGAAAGGTCACAAAATCAGTATAATGCTCACTGTTTGTGTATAATCAAAGTGGTTTAACTTTACTTCAGAGTAAATGCATCTGTTCAAGCCACAACTCACATAGCGATACAACAAACCAACCATCAAGACCAAGGAGCTTTCCAACAAGTCAGAGATAAAGTGGTAGAGAAGTGCAGATCACTGATTATCCCTTTGAGTATGGTAAAGTCCATCTTTAAGAAGTGGAATGTGCTTCATACCACCAGTCACTACCCAGCTCAGGCCATCCTTCCAAACTAAGCAGATGGACAAGCAGAAAACTGGTTAGGGATGTCACTGTAAAGCCAACAGTGACTTTGAAAGATTTGCAAAGTTCCATGTCTGAGATTGGAGTCAGTGTTCATACATCGACAATATCCCGGTCCCTACAAAAAGCTGGCCTGTATGGGTGAGTAGCAAGAAAGAAGCCACTATTGAAAAAGAATCATCTTATCTCATGTGGAGTTTGTGACAGAGCATGTAAATGATACTGTAGACATGTGGCAGAAGTTTTTATGGTCAGATGAGACAAAAATTGAGCTTTTTAGTCTAAATTCAAAGCATTACAGCTGGTGCAAGCCCAACGCAGCACATCACTCAGTCAAAACCATCCCAACTGTCAAGCATGGTGGTGGCAGCATCATGTTATGGGGGGGGATGCTTCTCATCAGCAGGAACTCGGAAGTTTGTCAGGATTGAGGGGAAAATAGATGGTGCAAAGTACAGGTGAATTGTAGAGGAAAACCTGCTTGAGTCAGCCAAGAATTTAAAACTGGGTTGAAAATTCACACTTCAGCAGGACAATGACCCAAATCACAAGGCCAAAACCACACTGGAATATTTTCAAAAGAAGAAAGTGAATGTCCTGGAGTGGCCCAGTCAAAGTCCTGATTTTTGTCCAATAGAAAATTTATGGCGAGACTTGAAGATTGAAGTCCATTCCAAAAAGACTCACAGCAGTAATTCCTGCCAAAGTTGCTTCCACCAAGTACTGACTTAGGGGCTGAATACTTAAGCAATCAGCACATTTCAATTTATATATTTTTTTTTGCTGGCTTTGCTAACATTCAACCTCTTTCACATATAAAAGTGTTAAGTTTGATCATTAGAGTTTTGAATAAAAACTAGTGCATTAAAAATTGTTTACATTATTTGTATTTAATCAAAATGTGACATTATTGGTAGGGGTGAATACTTTTGCAAGGCACTCTACATATCATTACACATTCATAACTTCCATTAATATAACTTGCAAGTTTCCTACTTATATTTTGTGCAATCATCTTATCTAATGTTCAACTACAGTGTATGATGTAATGCAAAAGTCACATGATACTGGAAATACAAGATGTTTATTGTTGATTGGCTTATGATGTACTGTTATGTTAATTATTGTAAACATGTGACACCAAATGTATGCTGAGTTGTGGTATTTAAATACTTCTCTGCCAAGGTAAAAAAGAAAGGATTTTTTTTTTCAATACTTATTTCGTAATGTATTGCTTATACAGGCAATATCATGAAGGTGGTAATCTCCCAGTGCCACTTAGCATGTGAATGTTACTTGTCCAGTGTTCATGGACTGTCCTTTGTAAGTTGTCTTTATACGTTAATAAACGACTCCTAGGATTACTTGATGTGTCTTTATTGTGCTAGTATAGGTTATTGTAGGTGACCTATTCACCAGGTTAATGTTACAAAACTAGATCATCAAAGACTGCTAATGTTAAACCAAAAGTATGTTGCAGAAATAGGCATTCTTTTAAGTTAATGATCTGTTTTACCATGTAGAAAATGTAAAATTTCAAAACCACATAAACTCAAAAGCACGGTACACTTGAATTCTATAGTGTTTTTAAGGTAATCTGATGTTAATACAGTTCAATCACTAAATGTTTTTACAAGTTTATCATCTATATAACATGAGGTTTCTCTTCTTACCTGAATGCTGACCTGATGCTAGTTCCTGGCAAGACCACAAGATGGCATAAAAATTGTAATCAGTATCAACAAGGTAAAACTTTATTTTCTTCGACTCTGACAATAAGAAAGATAAAAAAAAAAATTGAAATAATATCCACTACAACCAAAATAAACTTTCTTTGAAAACATGAGAAAATGAACTAACAACAAAATAATAATAACAGCATTCAATTCAAAGAAAAATAACCAATATACTTTCCAAATACCATACCTTTCAATGCATTTCAAATTAGGATGCAATGATACTTCACCATGAAAAACAGTTGTAACTCAAAGTAAAATAATACACCTTAACCTAGATTTCTGTATTTATTACTTGTAATTGAATCATATGAAATTCAAGTCTTCAACTAAACCTTATTAGTAACAAGCTTATGGCAATAACTTTTGATAATCAAGCAAAAAAATACAAAGAAACTTGACACTATAATGCTAATATTCAGAAATAACTAAACCTTGTATAAAGCAATACTTACATCTTGAAATACAAGATCTGCAAATATGTTATCAATGCCTTATCTCCTTTTCTATCACAAATATTTGATACCTGTCTATAAACACACCTAAGTTCTTATCTTATTCTTTAATATGGCAATCCTCCCAACACACAATAAGACCTGTTCTCTTGTTTTCTGATGATAAAGTACATTTTTCTCATTTTAAACCATTCACTAAGCCTATCTAAGTTATCCCAAATTTTAAGTTACTTTTGGATGATAAAAATTATTTGTTGATTAGTAAATAAAATTAATGAAACCCTATTCAGTTCTTAAAAAATAATCTTCACCTTAACTGAATCTTACCTCTATCAGAGACTCTCCTTCAACAAGTAAAATAATTTTGTTCTTGACACCACAGGATCAAGTATACAACTTTGAGAAATCTGTGATTTATTAAAATATTCTAAATATGTTGTCCTCAATGGTATCAGTTACCACCAGCCAACAATGGTCATTTTAAATATTTACATATGTAGTTGCTCACAGTCTTTTTTCTTTAATCTGTAAAATTACTTCCTCAAACTAATAATCAGTATTACAAAACATATACACGAATAACTTTGTCAAAAAAAAATCATGCCACACCTTCTGACCCAAATTTGAGATCAAATGAGCCTGCTTTTCCCCTTGAGTCGGGGATTTGTCCGTGACCCTCTTCTTCAAAACCCGTTCTGTAAACATAATTTTTGTATATTATTAGGTGCTCTGTGTGTGTACATTCTTTATAGTGATCTGAAACAAGTATATAAAATGGTTAACAATATGTTGAAAATGCATAGCAAAACTTCTGAATTCAATATTTTGCCAATATCAGCTAAAAGAAATATAATGTTATATATTACATGTACCACAGTACAGAAAAAATGCACTATTGAAACTTGATGTTGAGAAGTTAAAAGATAATCAGATATTTACACTACTGCTTGAAAACAAAATGTTTTAAAAGAAAGAATAAATTTTCTATACTAATTAACCTCCCAAAACACTCATAATATTATCACTTAATGTAGACTCTTGCTCAAGCACTCAGCATAACACACCAAGTGCTGGAACATTAAATATTTCAAATCTGAATGAAAAACAAGCTAACAACACTTTGCCTTACAAATAACCTGTCTTACGTTCTAAACTTATAACTGGATAACTCGCAAAGCAATACTTTGGTAAAGAATCTTACAAAAGGCCTATAGTAAGAAACTATAATTTTTAATAGATATAAATATTTTAATGGTAGCATAAGACATATAGATTAAGAAAAGAATTAAAATAATATTCAAATATTGCTAGATTAGATTCTTCAAGAGATAACAATTTCAAAGATCTTAAACTCTCTTGATATTTTGTGGAAAATATTATAAACTATAAAGAAGAAATTATTTTGTTCTAAACTCATATATTTTTGCAGAGAAAAAAAAATATGTTGCTAGCATCACTTGCCTGGCATATCACATGAATGATAATAACTGGGCATGTTATGTATTTCTACTTTTTTTCTTGATGGAATTTGTAAATTTTATACCAGTCAGTCAAACTGCCAAACACAAAATGTTTAACACTTTCTTAAACTTTGAAGTACATACTTTCTACTGTAGAATGATAACTTAATATAAAAACAGCAGTCAAATTTTGTCTTTCCAAGCATTTTTTAATACTTTTATTAAAATTATCTTTTACTCGTATGTCTTAGTTTCTTAATAGAAATTTCAGATGAATATTTCTAATTTAAATGTAATAGTGCGTACAGATTTCTGTAAGAAATATTTAAGCCTCTACACAGCAATAGAGCTAGCTAGGTGATTAACTTGATATAATCAATTATCTACGAGTATCATAATCACAATTAAATAATTGAAATTAGCATTTCCAATTATTAGTTTTCAGTAATTCCAACTAACCAAGTACCTGAATTGCTGCCATTACAATTTCTCATTATTTTTTTATTAATTAAAAGTTGTTCTGTTCAATCAATTAGTTTCATGACTAATGAAAAATGCAACAGTATACATACATTCCACTTAAACTGCTTATAAATAACTCATGAACATGAGGGTGTGGCCATTGGTTACAAAACTTGTCATAATGATGCCTGTTGTTCATGCTTACCTTGTATGTCTAAATATTGTAGCTCTAACTTGATATAATGCTCACTTACTAAAAACATAACTAGTGTTATGTAGGCCAAGATTGCATTAGTGAAAAACATTATGGCAAGTTAATATTTGTTATTCTATGAAAAAAAATATTCAATTGCTGAATAACTTGTTTATTAAGTCATTAATCTACTTACATGAACAGGACTCATAATTAATTACAGCTAGCTTTAACTAGAAAAAAAGAAAAGGGAAAAAAATATCTGGCTGTCATAATGTGCCATTTAAACATTGCCTAGTACAGTATTCTTTAAGCTGTTTTATTTACTGATTTCTCAGCAAGCACATGCATTTCTAGTTTCTCCTGGCTTGTACTGTAAATTTAAACATATTAATCATTTTAATGCATTCTTTCTAAACTTCTGCCTATATCAACAACTTCTGGTGTTTTTACTCTTACATTTCCTAATTTTTAGGTTTTTCTCAAGCATGATGGTATTGTTTGTTTGTAATTAAGCACAAAGCTACACAATGGTCTATCTGTGCTCTGCCCACCACGGGTATCGAAACCTGGATTCTAGAGTTGTAAGTCCGGAGACATACCACTGTGCCACTGGGGGGGGGGGGGCATGATGGAATTATAAAGAATTCCAAGATGATTATAATAAGATTTTTCCATATTACCATAACCTTAATTTTTCTTATAATGCTTTGATTTTCACCCAGGTCACCTAAGTATCATTACAAGTTATTTTGGCAAATAGTAAATATTATATTCATAGGATCAGCATGCATTTCTTATCTCTGAATTATATGTTACTTATCACTACTCTGACAAGAATCTTTTCTGGTTCTGTCAGATGAGATCTAAAAACAGTTATTTTTAACAAAGTATAAGTTTATTCTGTTTTAGTAGTCTTGTGAAAATTTGATGGAGGAACCCAGAGAACAATATTTTCAGTTTTTATAGCTTTCATACTGTGTTGCATAAATATGATGCATATTCACATGCAACAGTTTAGGATTAAATAAGTAACTAAATCCAAAGTTTTTGTGCATGAAAATATCTTTCATATTATATGAAAGATGGTTTGAAAATGTTAAAAGAAAACAAGGTAAAAATAGGAAGAGTAGTCTTATGTGAGAGTAAATGATTAGTTGAATGTAACTGATTAATGATCCCAACAACTGGTTAACAAATTCAACTAATGGTACAGCTCTAAATAGCAACACCAACAACGCTGCTGCTAAAACAAGTAATTATAAGGTTTTAATTTTTTCATAAATAATTCAGTATGAATAAAAAATCTGTAGGTTGAAGTATCACAGCTTTTCTTCATTATTACATATTCACAACCATGTTTTAGTGTTTGTTACTTGTTTTTTGCCTTTACCTCATTAATGGTTTACTCTAGAGACTTTGCAGAAAGAGATAAGTTTAGATCAATGACTTTTTAAAAGGCCATATAATGATATAAAGGGGCATAAGTTATTATTCTGATAAAATATTCATAGTGTTGAGAAATAGGTAATAATGTACAGAAGCTTCACACATGAAAAGGTTTATGATATTGTACAAGATGGCATTCAACAGGACACTACTTATAGTTTTATTAAAGAAAAATGGCATCATACACATCATATTACAAAATGAAAATATCAAGTTCTACACACTTTTATGGTTACATAGGTTCAATTTCTTTGTATTTCTGAGACTGTAAAATTCATGAAAACTTTAATATGGTTGTTGAAACATCAGATACCTAACAAAATTGCTCTTCCTAATATCATATGAAGGAGACAATATTTTTTTTATGATTAAGGACATGTCATTTAATTTGCCAATTACATAATTGTTTCTGTCCATGATCAAAATGAGGAAGTGATTTAACCTCTGTAGAGCCTTTATGACTATTCCACAGTATTACTGCAACTCTTCCATACATGCAGGGAAACTTTTTTTTAATCACAACTTTTAAGTACATGGGCAAGTATTAGAGGCAAGACCTTATGGTCAAGTGTGAAATGCTTGTATCACATGACTTGTGTCTATTAACTAGCATCTCATGAGAAGACCGATTAAAAGCATTTTGCAAGTCCAAATGATAATAACATAATATTTAAATACAACAGGTCTGTTGGTCTATTGAGACGTTCTAGTCCACTAAACTAAGCTTTTTAAAAATATCTCTGTAAATACAACCTAAAATACTGTTTTCTCTGCCACTAGCAACAATAACACACTGCTTGGATGCTTTAGAGACTGCTAACCAAAGCATCAAGTTCATTTTCTTCCATACACTGTTATATAAATTAAATTTATAATTTAAATTATAATAATTGATATCCCACATACCAGCAAATTTATTGCAAAGCATCTTTTATTACTTTCAAAAACTTTTGCTACCACTGATGTAAAACTAATAGGCCTAGAATAATTTGACTATAGGGAAGCTATTTATATCTTTGGTAATAGTAGTACGAATAGATGGTTACCTCACTAGGGTCAGTACATTCAATGAAAATCAAACTTTCATTGTTTCAAAAACTTTTCCTACCACTGATAAAAAAACTAATAGGCCTATAATTACTTAGCCAATAGAACACTAAACTACTTTCTTACAAACTTTTAGAAAAACATAACCTGTCGACATACCACTTTAAATTTAAATCTATCGTAACCACTAATTTCAAGAGCAAAACATATTTTAGCTTACATAACTCGAATACTTTAGCGCCCTCTATTTCGTTATTCAAAACGTGAACAACAGGGAAGAAGTGTTTGGCACTTTTAAAAATTAATATATCACAAAAATGTATTTGCCGTACGATAAACTGACTCAAAAGTAACATTTGTTTGTTCAAACAGTTGCTATTAACTTAGTAACAAAAATCTTTAGTTTACAGAGCTCCAAAACAAAACATCGAGCACATAAGTTAAAAAATAGTATCTTAATATATAAAACTACTTTTTATTATACATCACCTTCTCTTCACCTACCGGAGATTTTTTGCAGAAAAAAATATTTTTACGTCCGACCCACTTGCAGGTTCTATGTAAAAAACATCACACGCTCTGTTATCTTCAGAATTCGTCAGTATTCGTTCGGTTTCATACCATACACCACCTAACTAAATAACAAAAATTAATACGTATATATATATATATATATCTGTGTGTGTGTGTATAAACAATAACCATGAGAAAAAATGATGTAAATTACAAAGTTATTTATATTGTTCAAGTAACAATAACGTATCGCGTAGGTAATATTACAAAAGTTTGTCTGAAGCTGAACTGTAAAAATGCAGCAACTAATTGTTTCACCATATTCACATTTATATTTCCTCACCTCTGCTTTGAACAATCCGCGACCTTTCACACGCCAAACGAATGCTCTACCAACTGAGCTAAATAATTGATCCCATAACACTTCCTGGTAAGTTTATTTTTTAACATTTCAAATTATTACAATAAGATGTCATAAGAAAAAGTATCAATAATTATTGTTATGCATCAATTTCTAACAGAAGAGAGTTTTGTGTGTATTTTGTTAGTTTTTTATCCAACTATACACTATCCTAGCCTCACTATGCTCTGTCCACCATGAGGAACTGAACCCCGAACTCTAGCGTTATAAAGTTACTCACAGATGTTAACTTTTAAGCATTGAAATCAATGAGATAGCCTCTCTAAAACTGGGAGGGAAATGGGGTTTGAGGCTTATCTGAAGACCCCAGCAAGGATGGAAGCCTCAAACTATCTTTCATTATGACCATTTTTGGCCACCCCACGGTGGCACAGCGTAATGTCTGTGGGATTATAACACTAAAAATCGGATTTTGATATTCGCGTTAGGCAGAGCGCAAATAGTCCATTGTGTCGCTTTGTGATTAACAATAAACAAACAAAATGGGAGGCAGAAGAATGGTTTTGTTTGCTAGTTAGTGCTGTTTATTTGGACATAATTCCCCGAATTTATTTTTTGTTTAATGGAATGCAACACGGGACCTTTTAGTCCATCTAGGCTAAACTAAACAACAACTCAAAACCAGCACTTACCATTCATATATTTATCAAACCTTCTTTTTAAACTCTTTTAAATTTACTGCCTCTACCACATCCTAAAGCAACCTATTCCGAAGGCCAGCTACCATGTTACAAAATATAACTGTCTTAGTTGAAGATGACTCCTACCATGCTAAAATTTATATTTGAGGTCCTTAATCCTACCATTCTCACCATTAAATATGAAAAAAGATGATGCATCAACACTATCAATTCCTTTAACAATCTTAAACACCTCAATCAGATCTCCTCTAACTCAACTCTTCTTTCTTCAAGAGATAACAATTTCAAAGATCTTAAACTCTCTTCGTATGACAACCTTTCTATCCCAGGTATCATCATAGTAGCTCTCCTCTAAACCCTTTCCAACAATTCAATCTCCTTCCTAAGGAGAGAAACCCAAGACTAAACACAATACTCCAAGTGTGGCCTAAACAATGAAATTATAACCTCTTTAGACTTGTAGTCAATATTTTTGTAGATACAACCTAAAATCATATTTGCCCTACCACTAGCAACAGCACACTACTTGGATGGCGTAAGAGACTGATAAACCACTGGTCAGGTTTTGTATGTATGGATGAACCGGATTCTTTACAGTAGGTGTCTGTGATTTATTGGCGATAAATAAACTAACAAAAAACAAAACTATTGAATACCTCTCTGGTTCATTATTAGCTTACAAGTTGACTGGACCACTCGTATTTATATCTGATGTCTCACATTTAATATTCCTCGAAGTTACCAGAGTTTCGTGATGTCATCTAGAACATTCTAGGCTTTTTTAAATTGTATGCGCCCTCTATCTAATATCTAAAGTTAAACAATGAAAATATAGCTTATGACAAGAGTAACCAAGGAGTTGGCGGTGGGTGTTGTAGACTAGTTGCTGGAATAGTGAGAAGCAAGTGAGCATTGCAGACTTAACTTTACTCAACTCTTTCTGAAGCCATATTCTAGCTCTTGGAAAGCATGAGATGGAGAAGTCGGTCTAAGAAAATCCCTTACTGAAAGTAGAATGTTTGCCAGCCTTGCATCAAGTCCTGCAAGTCATAACAATATGACCACCTGTTAATATTCAGTTCCTTTACCACATATGCAGACTGTCATTCTCAGCAGCAACTACACTGGTGACAAACCAGACACAGTCTCCACTGGAACTAGAGTGGATATATATATATATAATGAAGTCCATGATCAGTACACGAGCACTAAGCATCTGATTAAACTCATCACATAATACTATCCACGAGATAATGTACATAGCTCAGCAGTTTGGAAGAACAGCCAGTGATAAATAAGCTAAAAAAGTAAACCAGGATCTTTTGAGAGAGATGAGCGTTTCTATTCTTGTTATCATGGCTTTAGTATTGTGCAAGGAGAAAAAACTTTGTTGGAGTACACACAAAGACCTGGATCATTTTACTAAGGACATGAAATGCTGCCTTAGCCAGACTAAAGCTCATGATGCCTACTACCAGATAGACCATTGTGTTATTGCTAAGGTCAGCATTTAAGGGGGAAGAACAACTTGTCAAAGTAACAGAAATACGTTTAGAAAGGCTTTTTAATGTTTGTTTTTTTAAGCTCTGGCTGAAATGTATTGTTTTAAAATACATTTTCATTGTTTACTCATGTTTATTCATACTGAAAACTTGTACGCAGTTATGTTGACTGGTATGCACATATTGTTTTATGCCCTTCGTCAACAGTAGGCCACCACATATTTCAGATCGACATACATAATAAGGTAAAATCTATGGTAGGCTAGGAAAATGTGTAACAGATCTGTTACTCTACAACATCATCTTTGATGTATGGAAGATCCAAACATTCCAGAGCTCACAGTAGAACAAAATATTAAGAACTTGTGGAAAACAACAACCTGCTTACTTTTCCCCCAAAGAAATATAGCATTGTGTTGGAGGACTTGACCATTTCTGCAGTATAGTGCATAAGGATGGTTTAACATGAAGTTATGTGTGTGTTGGTTCCTATAGATAAAATTGGTTGGTTTTAAGCTAAAACATCGACAAAGGTTTTGCATTAATAGATGTTCCATTGACTTTCATGTAGTTTTTGGAAAGCCTTTTTTGTTAATAGTGGAATGATGATAAGAGTGACAGCAAAGTTAAGATTAATAGCAACATATTTGTTTCTGCCTGTTTTAGGGCGCTAGAACTGGTGTAGACCAGACCAGAAGTTATCAGTTACTTGTGGGTTGAGACCTATTGTTTTAAAAAGAAAATAAAACTTTCTAAGTTGTATTTCTTTGGGATCGAATTATTGTATAATGTCAGTTACTGAGAAGCATCATATGTATGTATCTTCAGAATAAAAAGAAACATTGCATCCAGAATCCTCATTAATAACACACCACCTGCAGACGAGTTGGATCACTATCTGATTTCCCAGAGAGTTTGAGAACACCTGTATTTCCACTTCAAAGAACCAGAAGACGAAGAAACGAAAAACCTTCTAACCACTAGCTCTTCCTGCTAAGTAGTTACCTCTGCTGCAAATACCTAGACAAACTATCACTACCTACCACTTTCATGGTGATGGTGAACAATGCTTGGTCCAAAAGGCGATCAAAGATCTGCTGGATCTATTGCCCACCTAAGTACCTGCAAGTCTTGACTTTCCTGCAGAAGTGCTCTTGCAATGCCAGTGTTGGGTTTAAATAGCACGTTGGACTGAAGCTATTGCCATTTTCCAGCAAGAGGAAAACATATAGAAGGAACAGTGACTTAAGGGAGATCTTAGGGCTAGAATGGAACTCCATCACACATAAAAATTAACCTGCATAAGCCAAATAGGCCTCAGTGTCAGCTGGTGGAAGATGGTCCATAGCAGTACTGGATTCCCTCTTCCTCTTTCAATCCATGGAGGAAATGTCAAATCAACATGTAAGTATGTAGACATTTTGTACTTCTATTTATTTAACATTGCCCTAATTTGTGGAATTCTACTGTACATATAAATGTGCACAGCAAAACGAGTAACATTTAATTTCCTGTGCAAAGTGTCTATGTTATATATTGGTCATCTCTGCAATTATCATCTAATCATTGAGATTGATTATATCTTATCTAATTGTGTGTGTGTGTGTGTAAAGTTTTCAGATTATTCCATTTTAATTAATTACACCTGTCATACGACATTACTTTCAGGCCTATTATATTTTTTAACATTGCATTTTTTATCTAGTCCCTTATAAATTTTTAAGAATTAGGAAACCGTATAATAGTACTATTCCAACCACATCATGTTTGCCTTATCCACTGCCGACGATACGATTCGCTCAATCCAGAGCTCATCAGGCCGGATGGAACACAGTTGTCGGAACATCACTTATATAAGCCATTTGTTACAACAACATTTTATTTTACTTTACCTTAAATATTCTTTACTATGGTCATTCCATTTCAGCTAACTGTACATACAACCACGAAAAAAACATATGTTGTTTAATAAATAAAATGTAAATCAATAATAGTGAGTTGTGACGTGGGTTTCAATTTACTTACGATTCTTTTATCAACCAGAATGGGTAAAATGTGAAGTTGAGTTTGATTCTGTTAAGTGCCTAAATGTTTCTTTGATTTCATTCTAAAATGCATTCGATTCGTGAAATTCTTTTGTTAGTTGTGTTCTGGCTTGTATTCTAACCAAAAATGATTAAGGAATCACTGTGTGTACTAATTTATTGTTAAGTTTTGTTCTATAATGTAATTAGTAGTTATTTAGTTTGATTCATTCTTGTTGTGACCGTTCATAAAACAAGAATATGTTCTTGTCAAGGAAAGAGTTTGTAGTAGTTGTGAACCCGTTGTACAGTATGTTCATCTGTGGGTGAAGTGAGAATACTTTTAATCCTAGTGGCATATTTGAATATTACAACTCATGGTCGGGGCAGTAGTTTTGTCATCATTAGTTTCCTTTCCTGGAACTAATCAATCTCGAAACTTAAAAAAAAATAAAAGTTGGTTTTGGAACAGAATGTCACCATGTAGACGTACGGTTTGATCCCAGTGACTAATTTCTAGAGCTCATGTTAATCTTAGCCACAATCGCTTATGATGATCAGCGCTTTCTCAGTTCTTGATTACTTGCACATTTGTCGCAGGTGTTTAGCAAGGCTTTCATGTCTAAGAAACTCTCCTGATTTTGATTGGCTGTAATTTACATAAGTAACTATTCATATGTGAAAACCTCTAGATATTTAACCTCGTTTGGGAGATGAGTCTAGAAGGTCTTTTCGTTCTTCTCTCAACAACCAGCATAATCTCAAAGTTGTAACTTTCTATTTTCAGCTTTAATTCATAACTTATGTCAACTATTTATATTTCCAGTTATTATATGTTCAAATAATTATTTGTTCTAACACCAGTATCGTTTGATAATTCTTTGTAGTGTCAGTCATGGTAATTATATACCTCTCTCCATCCTAATTTCCAGTGAAGACTCTTTTTTTTTGTCAAACATGTCTGTAACATGTCATTTTCACTTGTTCTCATATTAACATTCCATCCAACAAACGACAGAACCTCTTATTACACTGGTGTAGAATATACCGTAATAAATTTATTGATGACATTTGCAACGAAGTTAAGCACAAAGCTACACAATGGGCTATCTGTGCTCTGCTCACCAAGGGTATCGAAACCCGGTTTTTAGAGCGGTAAGTCCACAGACATTCCGAAGCAGCGAAATTTAATCTTATGTCATTTGCTTATTCTTTTTTTGTTTGTTTGTTGTTGTTGTTTTTTTGCGTAAAACTACACATGGCTATGTGCGCATAGCCTTCCCTAATTTTAAACTGATTGACTAAAAGAAAGGCAAATAGCGAACACCAACCCTTACACTACTCTAGTCTGACAGAATAGTTGGATTTGACCATCATTCTTGCAGTGCATTTACTGACTCAAAATGCGGAACACAGATTTTGTGGCAACGGAACGTGCATACTCATCATTAGGCCATGCCCGGCCGCATATAAATTAAATAAATTAAGTTGATCTTCCTAATGAAATAATTTGTTGCCGTTTGCGACCTCTCCAAACGAGGTGTGACGATCGATGTATTCACTGAGAACACTACAGTTTCAATAAAAACCTCTTCTTTCGTCGATGTAGGACAGTAGTAGTAATAAGGTAAGAATGACGATAAGCAGCATATTGTAATAAGGTTATAAATCCTATCTTTTCTTGTATATATATATATGCATTTTTTTTAATAATCGAGCAAAATTCAATCTTATATACATTGCGAACCGTGGTGCCTGTCCGAGTGTTCGTCTGTCTCCCGTTTAAAAAGATGCGCACGCAGGCAAAGCTCAACATTCACTTTTGAAATGAGGGGAGAACAGGCATGAATAATGGAATGATGTTGATGCCAGATTTTATTTCGAAAGCAAGATATCCAACATTAAATTGTTAGGAATTAATCATACTATAATTCACATTTCAAAATGTGACGAAACTTAAAGAATAAAAATATAGATTTACCGTATGTTAATGTTGAGCGGCTCTTAACATGACTGAAATGCTCAACAATTACTTTTTGCAGTTGGCGGCATAAGTAGCTCGGCCCGGCATGGTCAGGTGGTTAGGGTACTCGACTCGCAATCTGAGGGTCGCGGGTTCAAATCTCCGTCACACCAAACATGCTCGCTCTTTCAGCATTATAATGTGACGGTCAATCTCACTATTCGTTGGTAAAAGAGTAGTCCAAGAGTTGGCGGTGGGTGGTGATGATTAGCTGCCTTCCCTCTAGTCTTACACTGTTAAATTAGGGACGGCTAGCGAAGATAACCCTCGTGTAGCTTTGCGCGAAATCCATAACAAACAAACCAATAAGTAGCTCAGAGCTTTGGTTCTGAGTGAAACCAAGAGTGTAACACAGTTAACATTAAATAAGTTATAGATTAACTTAAACTTTCCTGTCACTGGGAACAGGTATTTTTGTTAGAATAACTTAAACTTTTCCTGTACTGAGGTCAGGTACTTTTGCTTGTAAGCAATATTTGAAAAGTTTGAAATTTAAGATATGTTATATGATAAAAATGTATTCGATTTAAATGAATGATTTATCGTTTTTGAAATGTTATTGGTTCACGTGTAGATTAACTTAGCAAGTTGTTTATAGAAAATAGAATATTTCACAGTAAATTATCAATTGTAAAATCACATTTTTGCGTATATCAGAGGACTTGTAAAACAAAGTGCCATATATGATGTATTATAGTGACTATTCCTACTAACTGTACATAACATACAGCAAGTTCTTTAATTGACTACAAATACAGGTGTCCCAGTGGCTCAGCGGTAAAGTTGGGAGTTTCTAACGCTAGAATTCTGGGTTCATTCTCTCTCTCACACACAGGCGGTAAGTCATAGGACTTACAACGCTAAACAATACCTGTAGTGGGCTCAGCATAGATAGCCAATTGTGTAACTTTGAGTTTAATAACAAGGGGTTTAGCGTAAAAAACTACTCTGTAGCTTTGTACGAAAACAAACAATACAGACAAAGTATTTTTTGATATACGAAAACTGTATTATCAACACAGTATAAGGATTAAGGGCAAACCTTAACCTCCTTAGCCGAACCTGATTATAATATATCATTATGATTTCACACAAAACATCTTTAATAATGATAGTATCTATTTGGTGAATCAAAGCAATCTAATCATTACAGGTTTTAATTTTCTTGTGTATTGTGGTGTGCACATTGTGTAGCTTTGTGCTTAACAATACATAAACTTGTGTATTAATCCATAACATTAGGTTCTACTTTGTCAGTTTGTTTTATAGATTTGGCTTCAGTAATTTAAATATTACATTTTAGTTTTAATCAACACAGTTAGCTTACTTTTATGAATAATTTATCATAAATGATTTACAAACATAGATACAAAACATACAGATAACTCTTTTTAACATATATTTTCAAAATTATACAAGATCATTTTATTTTTAACAAATTAACGGTGCTACTATAGCGTGCAATCTACAAAGATATTTACAATATAACGTGCGGTCTACAATATACTATCATCATCATCGTTTTAATGATTCACTAAAACATAATTTCTTCCTAAACGATATACATCTAACCACGTTTTTGTTCAGCAAATAATAATAATTTAATAAGTTGTGTGTTCTAAAAGAGTACCTTAAATTTAGGTTATAATTGCGCTAGTTTTGATTGTTGGAACTTATTTCATTCCGATTATATTTGCCCCCAAAACGTTGTGCAATGGTAATTTTATACTTTATTAGTTTAAAAGCGTAATTTATAACTGGTGCCAATTGCAAATAAATGAACGTTAAAACGGTGATGATGATAGAATCTACGTAGATCGCACGCTATAGTAGCACCTAAATTAACTTAGTTATTAATATTAAGTAAACAATATTACTAACAAGTATTTTGAATGATTTAAAATTCGAAATAAAAAAGGCACACAAAAGCGTATGTACAAAAATTAAGATAACTAACAACTAAAATAATTAACAGAAGTAAAATATTAAAGTAAATTATCCAAACATTTTACAAAGTATGGTTTTGAGTCCAAAGTGTGCAACGTAGGTCTATAACGGTAGGCCTAGTATAAGTTAACGTACTGCATAATCTTTGCATGGAAACACTATGATTTAAAGCAAATTTAGTTATTACTAAAATATCACTCGATAACCACTGATCAGATAACTCACCTTTCGAACATCGTAGTCAACAGTATTCGGGGCTCCAGGACATTTACCATCCTGCAAATCCTGACTCCTCACCCCACACACAAACAAGAGACTAAGAACAGCAAGACTCAGCATCTGAACACCCCTCTTCATCTGCGAAGTCTTAACTTTAGTGGTGAGGTTTTTATACCCTACTGTTACACGAACCTAACCCTTCTGTGTAATCGCAAACTGGTTTCTACAAGTAACATGTGTATATATTAGATCTTACGTAAAGATTTTTTCTGAATGATTGTATATGCCTGGTACAGAAAAGGTGGCATTTAATAAATGTTAAATAGACTGCATAAATTTGCTTGCCAGCTATAACAGAAAAGAACAGTAGAAGTGTATATGTGTGTGTTTAAGTTCTTGAAAGCTTGTACAATGATTAATAAAGTGATTTTGGTTCAAGGTTATTTTACTAATCACGTGTTACACTAAGAATGCTACTGACTAAAGAATTATATACAGGTTCGTAGTGAACTTTTTATCCGAATTCGTTTGTTTTTTCTGTATGTATATTTTTCTAACCCTATTGTCTGCTCATTGATGATAAGCGACGATAACTATATTAAGAAACAATAGAGTGCAATATTGCAGATGAACAATGTGACTGTTTTTACATTTGTTGTTTGAACTTTCATAATCACAAAGTAGTATCCATAAGGGCTATCATACTTCAATACGGCTATGTACCCATGCTTATCTTTAGCACTCCACATGACTTCTATATCACAGGATGAACACTTACGTTACGCCCTCCCTCCAATGGTAAAAAAAGCAAAGGTGTCTCATTGTGTAGCTTTGTGCTTAACAACAAACATACAAAAAAAAAAGTTGCACAACAGGCTTTCTGTGTTGTATCTACCGTACAAATTTTAGTGTTATAAGCTCTTAAACCTACAGTCGAGCCACCGAGAGGGCTTTTTTTTCTGTTGATGTTACAAATTAAGGGTTGACATATTATTCAATTAAAAAAAAAAAAAAAAA